CTGATACGTTTGATTATTTCCATAACCTGTTCGCTAGATAATTCATGGATATTATTGGGAGAAGTTACGTGTTTATCACAACGGGCTCGCGCATTTCTTTTGTCTCTGAAAAATTTAGTCGCACTTATCAACACTAAATTGCACGTGAAATCATGTTGTTACTTACACTTATTTAATTTCGATTCCTTTAGTGATAGTTACGAAAGGATAACATTGATGTTTACATACAACCGATCTCGATAAATAATATAATTAGTTTGAGTAATGAATCTGTTGTTGTTTAAAATCATGATGACCGAGTAAGTAAATGTTAATTGGTACCGTGCATAAAAAAAAGTCAAATTGTCAAATAAATGCTTTGGATAAATAAATTGATATACGAGACTCTTTTAGTTAAAGTTTCGTTTTTCACCGAAAGTTACGGATGTTTCACGACGTACGTTCCCACAGCAAGATCACGGATCACGCAAGTTCTTCACTTCACGGATCACAGATCAGCCCTGTACCACCCTGAAATCGGTAAACCGTCACGTTGGTCATTAGTTAATCATATTAATATGATCATAAAGCGACGCTGTAAGGTTATACTGCGTTTCCTCCGACCTGTTTAGAAGTTTATAACCTAGCAACTGAATTAAAGGACGGCAACTATCTTCGATAACGTTAACAATGCAGGGATCCACCTCAAGCCTCCAGTTATCGATGTTAGCCTTTGAGTCCCGCCTTGTAGAGAAGTTATAGCCTTGCCCATTCTTTGAGGAAGTGTTTTGATTTGAAGTGTGATTTTTTATCCATCTGAGAGTATCATTATGCATTGTTATTCCAGATATTTTGTACATCCTTTGCAAAGTTTCAACCGGATTTCTAGCAAGGTCTTCGTAACGGAGCATGTGGTATCTATTGTTTGTTTTTTTGGTCAGCTTTAGAAAAGTTCTCACATTCGCTTCAATTTGACGACAGATCTGAGCACTATACATCTTTACACTTGGGCGAGGGGCGCCGTCTTTTGCAAGACCTCTGAAATAAGACCATGTTTTTATTCCCACTTTCATATGAGAAAAGACAACTGGACGAGGATCCCTAACCAGGTAAATAATCGAGCATGTGGTCCAATTACACAGAGGAAACAGTGACTCGACCTTGTTTCTGGGTATTCTAGAAGTGAGAATCTTGATGACTGTAACTTTATAGTCTAGCGTGCAAACGTTTTCCATGTTTATCGTGGTTAAGAAGGAGCACTTATTTTTCTTCGCCGTATTAAGGGACGTTTTTTCTCGGCACAATGGCGGCGAGGAAAGTGCGTTACTCGAGAACCTTCGGAAATTTTGGATTTCTCTAACATACCTAAGAGAAAGAAATTTACAGCCTAAAATTCCTGCGAGGAATTGCATCGGTCTAGGGTCGTGCTCGTGTTGCTTTGGGTCCAGCACAACTCCATGAAGAGGTTCAAATAAATAGAAAACATCCGGATTTTGGTTGAAAGCATCACCGAGGAATGATGAGCCTGTACGTGGTTCAGCTACAATAATAACAGTTTTCCTTTGTACTCGAGAAGCATCGGGTGTACGTCGACTGGTTACTTTTTCTGGTGGCTCGTTAAGAGCTGGGGCTCTTGGTCTGTTTCTTTCGTGGACAGGAGGAAAACCTGTGCTTCTTGAATGCATATTGCCAGTTGTCGGCGCGATTGTTGGGTGTCTGAGTAAATCATTATTGGCTAGCTTTGACGTTGCCGAACCTTTTACCCTCACGGCCGCAATTTCCTCGGTATTGGAAGTTTCCGACTGTTTGTTTTCTATTATTCGGGATTTGACTGGGCTCTGTTGCACAGATGAATAACCCAAGGCAGGGGAATCCATATGCGAGGTTAATCTTGGCTTTTCAATGTTTCGTTTTTCATGATCAGCCACATCTGGTACTGGTGCTTTTAGGCTGTTTCCGTCATGAACTAGAGGAGAACTTGTGGCTCTTGTATGCAATTTGACAGATCTCTGCGCGATAGCTTGGTGTCTGAGTACAGCTTTTTCGGTTGGCGTTGACGTTGCCGAATCACCTATCCTCAGAGCCACAATTTCCTTCGTATGGGATGTTTCCGCCTGCTCTTTTTTCTCAGCTTCAATATTAACAGCTTTCCTTGGCTCTGGAGAAGCATTAGGTGTACGATGGTAGGCTAATTTTTCTAATGAATCTCCAGGAACTGGGGTTCTTAGTCTGTTTCCTTCGTGGACAGGAGGAAAACTTGTGGCTCTTGAATGCAATTTGACGGTTCTCGTCGCGGTTGGGTGTCTGAGTAAATCTTTATTAGCTGGTGTTGACGTTTCCAAATCTCTAATCTTCACATTCACAATTTCCTCTGTGTTTAAAGTTTCCGCTTTTTGATTGTCATTTATTCGGGATTTGTCAGTGTTCTGCCGCTCAGATGAATTGTGCATGACAGGAGAATTAATCTGCGCGGTGAATCCTCTTTTCTCCGTAGGTCGTATTACAGTCACACCTGTGTTATGCAACTTATCTTTAACATTTCTGTGCCTGTACGCGTTGGGTTCTAAGTGTGGATCCCTAACAACATTTGAGTGATATTTTGCATATGTAGTTTGTTTTTCCACGTCAATATCAGGGGTAGCGGTGAATATCGCCTCTGATTGTTTAGTAAAAGTGTTGAATTCCTTAGTGTTGTCTTTCACTACATTATCGGTGGTGAATATTTGTAATTGCTCATCGTTTTCCACATCTTCGGCTGGTTTGAGTTCTTTAACAGTCCTTCGTGCCCTTTGGCGGCTACTCCATATATCCCAAACAGCGGGAAGCTTTGATTTCTTAGTGCGCTCAAGGCCACGGGCTACTGAGATTTTACCCTCCTCCGAACTTCGTCGCAAGGACGAACTTTCATCGCTGATTCTGTTGAGTAAATAATCCTCAGGTCTAGAAGACATCGGCAATGGATTGAATGGAATATTTTTCCCAGCTTTCAGTCCGGTTCGTTTCTTTTTCCTAAAGTATGTCTTTTTCTCTGGAACGGTCTTTGCCAAGTTAAAATCACGTTGTAATCCTTCTCGAGTAACACTTTCTCTCTTATCTTCATCGACGTGTGCTAAGAACAGGAACGAAGTCAGCAAAGAAGCTATGACAAGTATACCAAAAAAGCGAATTAAGAAGATATTTCTCCTCAAAACTGTTATCATGACGAGTCTTCGAAGGCAGCTCAATGTAGTCATTCCTAGTGTGTTCGTGAGTTTGTTTATCGCGGCGGAATTTGACCTCGATTTGGGATTGTGTTCCACGTCAGCAAATGCTTCTGCTTCATGTGACAAATGCTTCTTTAAAATGTTAGACACTCGCATTGGCTTCTCTCACGGTATGCCAAATACTCCATTCACTGTGAACAGAGAGCGGACATTTCAGATATTTCTTCGACAAAATGCATCGTCATGGCACGGGTATCCCAAGCTCATGTTTCGTGAAAAGGGAGAGACGTATGTATTTGTTCATGAAGGCGTCACGAGTTGTGTTACGCGGTGTTATGTTGCGGGAGGAACCGTTAAGAATTTAAATCCTTCATAAGAAATAGTGTAAGGAACAAAATATGTCGATTTACTACGCTAAATATTCCGAAATACGAACGGTTCGTTGTGGACTCCATTTGTCTCTGCCGTTTAGGGCTTGCTTTGCCATCACTCCGTTTAATCAGGAATAAAAGTGATGGCATAGCAAGCAAAAAGCGGAAGGGATCACCGGAAACCCAACTGACACACACGGAATGAGTAATTTTTATCAATATTTTGACTAAACGTTCGTATTACGGAATATTTACCGAGGTCAATTGTTCGTATTTCGTTTTCCATACAATTCCTTAAACGGGTTCACAACGGTTCCTCGCGTAGCCTAACACCGCGTAACACAACACGTGACGCTTTCATGAATAAATACATACGTGTCTGGGATTTCTCGAGACGTGAACTTGGAACGCCTGTGATAGAGGTGGCTTTCTTAGAAAGTCAATATTCAATACTGCTTCAGTCGGCCTGAGCTGTCGTGAAGAGATAGAAAAGTAGGCTGGCGTGACATGACTTATTCTAAGGGTAAAGACCTGAACATCGCACACATCACACCACCCAGCATCACATCACAAGGGGTGTCTGGTATATTACTGCCCACTCAAGAGAAAATACCGGAACAGCCGGTAAAAATGGATTTATATAAGCTGCTGTTTACAACTGCGGCAGACAATTTTGTCAATTTACAAAGACGTGACGTCCGCTAATAAAAGGTGGAGAAAGCACAGCCTTAAGTCCTCTTTACATGAGTCCAGTAGACCGAGCTGGCATATTTACGGTACGAAATGGGTTCAATTGGGAAATTTCAGGCGCTAATTTCCTGAGGACTAGTTTTTGGCGCGAAATGTAAGTCATTTAAACATTCAATCAAGTTGCTGATCATATCTCTCCGCTGACAGAATGTTTTAGATTTCGAAGAAGAAGAAATCTGCTCGCTTGCCGCCATTGCTGTCCACGTTGTCTGAGGCCGTGCTCCGCCGGCGGCCAAATCCGTTACACGCGTAGTTGGAAAAAGTTCATCCCAGTAACCGAGCCAAAGAGTTCATATTGGGAAAATTTCGGGAACCGAGCCAGACCACCTGCCCATATTAACACGTCGAGATTTTTTCAAAGGATTAGAGATGTGCCGAGATCTTGGAAACCGGGCCAGTCTAGTCAACCGCGCTCATATGACGAGGCCCTCAAGCTTGATTTTCACTGTCGCAGGTGAACGTGCATTATACACAAAAAAAAAAAAAACAAAAAAAAAAACGCACGTTGAAATGAACGTTCACCTGCGTTATCGCATCCATTGACTACAGGTTGTCATATTTCCTCTTCAACTTCATAAATTAAGTACGGGCGTGCAATTTTTCCAAATATTAAAAAATTACGCGTGGTGTTGATTTTTTACGCGGCAGTGGAGATTGCTCACGAACGTTTTGTCAACGCGCGTTTTACTTATGGATTAAAACCTAGGGCGCGCACCTAATTTTTCAGTTGGTCAATCGTGGGCGCATTGAAAATATAAACAAAACATTTATTAACAACAAAGTGTCAATCACATGGATGAATAAACTTAGCAGTATTCAGCTTAAGCGTAAAATTGGGAGACATAATAGTTGTATTCTGAGTATTCTGACCACTGATCGTCATGCAGCATCACGAGGTACAAATCTTCTATCTTCACCGTTTGATTGCCGCGGAAATTTTAAATACTGTGGCGGCCTTCTGCTTGAAAGACTCGCATTTAAAAGGTAAGACCAAGTTTTCTTGGTCGACCTGTTCCTTCAAATCGTGGCTTGTAAATTGAAAAATCTATCAAATTTCACGCCTGACAAAAATCCATCCTGCTCCGTGGCTTTGAATTAATGAGTTGTTGGAGAGGGGCATTGGGGTCCATTAGAAACCGCAAAACCGAAAAAATTCGGTCAGTACCGAAAACCGCATGCAACACCGCCAAAACCGATAAATTTTCACATCTTAGTTATCAAATTCCTAATCGATCCGATACAGTCAGTGACAAATGGAGCATAGGGAGGTTTCGCGGCTATTCAAGATCAGTGGAGGCGCTTAATTGCCGCTCAGATCGAGAAGAAACCAGAAGCCAAGTGGGAAAAACCGAAAACCACATTGGATACCAAATCTGAGAAGCCATTGGTTGTTGTTGTTTTTTTTAACGAAAACCGAAACTAAGTGCCAAAAAAAACGGAAAATCTGCAAGCCGCAATGAACACCAAAACCGAAAAGCCGAAGTTTTTTGGCACAAAACCCGATTAACCGATCTAAAAAATAGCCAAAACTGCAAAACCGAAAATTCCAATGCCACCCTCTTGTATGTTGTCGGCGGATCTAGTTTAAATCGAAACTCGCGCTTTAAATTCCAAAGTTGTATTTTTCCCGTGGATCGAGTTCAAAACCGAAATTCAATTTTGTCGGCGATTCGTCTCGAAGGCTATTGCAAAGACTTGACCTTGAGCGAGGAATTTAATGTTCAAGCGAAGACTTGAATGCTGGAGTGTTGTCGGGAAAAAATTGACTGTTGAAAATAAAACTTGAATGTTGACAATAAAATGTGAATATCAAAAATTAAACATGAATGCTAAAAAATAGAACTCAAATGTTGAAAATAAAACTTGAATCTCGGCGGGGATTTTACACCATACTTACGCGACATTCCTAACGACGTAGATTGTTAAAGAATCCACCATCTGCGAACTGAAATTATGAGAATTATCGCTTACAGCTTTCAATTGTGCTATGAAAATCACTCGTAGAATGAAAAGAATAAAGAGAAAAGGAAGTAAAGGAAGAAACAAGTCGGGCGTCTTTCAGGTGTATTGACCTAAAACAGTGCTATTGTGTAGATCGTACTCCTAACTTATCATGCTTAGCGATGATTTCGATCACAATTTCAATGTTTTTTATTCTATCGTTGATTTACTTAACAGCCGCTTAAATACAGGACTGAGACGGGACTGAGTCAGATATTTTTAACAAAAGTATCGGAAAGAGCATTTTGCAAGGAAGACAATAGCCTTGTATGCACAATAAATTAAACTTCCGCTAAATTAGTAGGTAGCGCGTTCATGTAAGTTTGTGCGCATGGCGTAATACTCGCTAGATTTAGTCAGCAGTAATTTGAGTCGATGAAAAAGACCTCTGATGACATGCTAGGGAGAGGTGAAGGAATTACCGGATTGAAATAGTAATTATTTCAAGCAATGTAAGTCGATTCTGATAAGCGGCATTGAAAACAACGCTAAATAAAATCAATCAGTTCGCTGAAAGCTCAGGTTTGACATACCAAAACCCATTTGTTGTTGTTGTTGTTGTTTATGTGTCAGAGAATTCCAGAACATTTAAAATATTTTTCAGATCAATCAGTATGCAACTTCACCTTGCTTCGGTATCTAATAAGTGGAGAATTTTACAATCAATTAGCGAGGAAAAAGGTTACATTTCGAAATCGTGATCTCGTTAGGACGTGAAATTAAACTTTACCTTCTCGCATTCGCGACTTGGGGACAAGGTAAGGTCAAAACGTGTCGTGCAGGCTCAGAAGCTTCTGGACACAAATTTCACCTTTGCGGTTGCTGTCGAAAGGCCGGCGACTTCTGTTGTTGTAGAAGTCTAGATGGTATTATGCACTACCCTCGCTGGGGAGACATTTGGTTTGGACCCAAACTTCCTCCGCGGCTGTACCCTTCTAGAGATCACGATATGTTCATGCCTTGAATTTGGTTGCCTTGTGTTAGTTGTGTACAATATTTTTAAGCAATTTTTTAAGCAATTAATAAGCTTATACACATGTACACATATACTTTTTACCCGGACGGTCAATGTTAGCCTCCTTCAGCAACCCTCTGAATAGAAATTGACAGCTGAGCGTGACGTTCAAGTAGCGTAACAACGATCTCTTTGTCCAAGCAAAATGTAGACACGTCTTCAGCTTTTCAAAATTGGTTACGGTTCCTTACTAATCATCATTAACTTGCCAGATTCTACCTGATCATTGACTTAGAGTTATTTCTTGCGCATGCGGCGACATTGAACTTACTTCACTTGGATTAATGGGGTAATGTAGCTATTGAGTTCATTGCAGAAGAATCCGAGATAACAAAAAACCAAACGCTTCCTACTATTTCTGAAACTCAGCGTTAAACTACAGCTCAAAAATAGATTATGTGTGTCAACGGTGAGACGAGACAAAAGAAAAGAGTAAACAACAAACAAACAAATAAAAAAACGGAAGAAATCTTGCGAAATAAAAATGAATTTGCCGTCATCTTACCGCCGTTACCAGTTTGGGTGGTTTATCTTGTTTTCTGTTGGTTTGGCTGTTTTTCAAGAAGATAGCCCCGAAAAGACTTCGTGGCTAAGCTCCTGAGTTCCTCATAGCATTTGTTATTCAAGAATTGTTGCAATAAGTTTTAGCTCCACCTTAGAGATAACCAGTACTATTAAAAATAACGGTTACATATTAGGCAAACTCACGATTCTTTCTCCGTCAGATCACTGACAACTTTAGTAATTGTATCGGATGAGTAAGTGATAATGCAATTATATTATTTTTCACGGGTGGGCAAACAGCGAATTAATTAAGCTTAAGGCCATTTAGTAAGCCCGAAAAATAGACTCCAGAGTTTTATTTCGTAAAGTAATTTGATTGAATCCCCCGACAAAGATGAATACAACCAAAGGCGGCCCAAGTGTGATTTCTGAGTTTCAGGCAATTAATAGAATATTTAATACACTAAATATGAATATTTAACTAGAGTAGTACAAGTCAAAATTTCCTCCGTATGAAATCTATCCCTTTTACCGGCAGTCTCTTTCGTTATCGTTGTTTGGTCTCGTCACGCAACACGGCCTCTCCCCAGAGAGTGTGTTGCGTGACGAATCCAAACGCTAACTGCTAATAGGCTGATGGATAAATGGATAGATGTCACACCGAGGAAATTTTGGCTTGTACTAATCCAGTTAATACACGTTTTCTAATTCAGCATATTAGAGATTTCTGTTAATAACTTTTGAACCCTGAAATCATACACAGTGCGCCTGGGCCGCTTGAGATGCGATAGAATCAAAATGTACACCGCTGTTCAAAAGGAGTGAATTTCAATGGTCCAACATCAGCAAGAATAAGAAATGGTCGCATGGTCGAACTATGTGATCGCTGCCACCATGCTGTTCTGCTGAAGAAAGGCACCAAAAATCAGTAAGTTATTTTCTGCAAAGTTTCTTCGTGGTCTTTTGAGTAAAATTTATGAAAGTCCCGCTCCAAATGTAGACTTCATTAGAGATCAAAGACGATTTAATTGCAACTATAACGACAATATCAAAAAAAAGTATTGCTATATTGATATTGGTCCAAGGTGTTGTAATATTTCCATATGGTGCCCTAGTCTTGCCTTGCTCTGCCTTCTTTCGGTACCTTCGTGTCCGCCATTATGAATAACAACGGCGGTGCTGCACATTACAAGACACAATAAATTACACTCTGAATTTTAATCATTCGCGACGAACTTACGTGAACGACGAAAGAAGTCTTTTTCCGAGTCACTGCATCCCAAGAAAATGTCATTCGATTTATATGTGTGTTATTTCAGTAAGTTACAATATTCTGATTTAAACTAGTTGCCATTTTGAACGTGAACGATCCAAATGTATAGCAAAAATACTGCTCACTTTCAGGCAGAGACGCTTAGGCATAGAAATACTGTGACGAGCCGCTTCGTGTGTGCCTGTCACTGCCCTGTCTTTACCGCAATCATACAAAAAACTGTATGCTTAGTATTAGAGTATTCATAGGTCGAGTAATTCCTCGGATTCAACTGTCCTTTATTCAATAATCAAGATAGTATATATACTATACAATACTCGTAATTAGTTATTTTACTTTTACTTAGAAAATTAGATTTACGACACGATTGAGTAATAGGAAGTGTCCTTACAGTGGTAACGCTATGTAACGAAGCACACTACACATCATGATAATAATTCGAAGTTGAATCGTTTCAGGGAAATCTATTCGTTCGAAAGGACTCACAAGATTCTTACAAAATTTCTCCTTTCTCACGGAGTAAGTTCTCACTTCGATCGACCTTACTCCCAGGGTCATTGTTCCAGAGTCTTGTTGTTTGTTTGGTTTTGACCTAACCTTAGGACCCATCATTCCAGATGATTGTAAACTCTTGAGATGAGAGTTATTTTTGTAAAGGTCATCAAACTGTGACAGATCGGAAATTCAATAGCAAACAATTTCACGCGGGTTTAGTAAAAAATTCTGATAATTTCTCGAGCCTCTGAGCTTCTTTTGGTATATAGATAGTCTTGTTGCTGTGAAAAATTTTTTCGAGTCGTCAGGCTATGTAAGTTATTGGAATATTGACAAAACGCATGTGAAACAATTTCCATATTTCACGAATTTACTTTTGTTCACCTCACGGGTGACAAATATGTTTCTCACGACTGAATTTTTTATTTGTTTATTTTATCGAAAACTCCTAGGGGTGGAAAAGGGATATCTTTTGGTTAAACTACGCAATTATCTTAGTTTGTGGACAAGAAGTCCTTTCAAATTCTTCTTGCTGTCTTAAAAATTATTGGCTATAATTCGTCATGAATGAATGGATGACAGCACCCGTGTAAATTATGCTCTGATCGTGCACGAGGCTAGTTTAGGCTCTTTTCGTTGACATATCTGATTATTTTTTTGCAGTATAAAACATCGCTTACTGACCAAAGAAAACTGGCCAAGATGAAATTTTAGCGAAAATGCACGACTTTTTGAGGTGGTGAAGCACGTGGTTTCGATAACATCACAGCTCGTTGTAAGTAGCTTGCACTGGAGATGAAGATTCATCTTGTCCCCAGGCAATATTACCACATTTCAGTGGGGGAAACAAGTTGAAGTCGTGTTTTCGGCTCACGGTTAAGGACTGAATGAGCGTGTGAAGGGAACTCCATTGGTCACAGGGTCTGGTAAAAGTGGATTTCTTTGTTAGGCAATTTTTGCTGCTGCTTTCCTTCCCGGAGTCATATTCTTCAACACTCAGTTCTCGTCACTAGACGCTTAACGTAAATACTGTCGAACTTTTTGGAGAAAATATGATAATTTGAGGAGTGATAACAGAGTACGTTGACCATTAAAGTCACTTAATATATGATTTTTTTTTTCTTCAAGACCCGTTAGTTCATCGATCTGTGTGACAAGAAGAGGGCAGTATACTATCTCAGGATTATGCCGCGGAGCTCCGAGGTCAGCAACCCCAGAGAAGGGGCAAGTGTTGCGTCAGTCATGTTCTTTTGGTGGATGAATGACCTGATGAGCCTGGGTAGGAAGCGACCGCTAACTGATGAGGATTCCCCTCCACTCCTTGAGGATTACAAAGCCGAGTTGCTCGTGAAAAAGGCTGAAAAATACTGGTTCGATGAATTAAAGCGCACTCAATCCTCAAACAAGAAACCACAGTTATGGAAAACATTGTCCAGATTAATTCCGTGGGAATCTGCTCTTAAGATGATAATTTTAAGAATTCTATGGGCTTTAAGTTTTTCCTTTTTACCCGTATGCCTTTGGCTATTGTTAAAGACGTTAAATGATGGACCAAATCTGGACATTAAGGTGGCGTTCTTCTATGTTGCCCTATTGACGATATCAAGTATGACAAAAGCGACTTCGACACAGCATTACGATTACCTGACCGAACTTTGGGGACTAAGGCTGAAGGTGGCATTGATAGGTCTTGTTTATAAAAAGGTAAGTTTCTATGGTAAGCCTTCCTTAGGTTTTCTTTCCCTTTTTTTTTCCACGTTACTCTGTCTTCAGTTTGTTATTAACCTTGAAATATAGTTTTGCAGAATAGCATAATCACCAAGGAGGGTGGAAAAAGACAGCTAAGATTAACAAAGACTGTTAATGGCTGGCCTTGAAATATGTTGCTGATCATTTCTTTTTCCTCAGCCGTTATTGTTTGTTTGTTTGTTAGTGTGCTTTTCAAGTATAGTATAAACGTGTTTTTTTGGTTCAAAATTGTTGTCAAAAACTATCAGGGTTTACTTACAGTTATATTTTCTCTTCTGTGGAAAATTAGATGCTTTCGCTAAATCGTTACAGCCTGGAGGCTACGCGTTCTGGAAACACAATAAACCTGGTCTCGAATGACGTTCAAAAAATAGAGAAGTCGTTAAACCAGCTGGGCATGGTGTTCTCCGCGCCGATGGAACTCTCAATCAGCTTGGGTATCCTATGGTATTTTATTGGCTGGGAGGCTTTGATTGGAGCAACAGTGTTTTTCGTCTTAGTAGCGTTCCAAATTTTGTTGGCAAGAAAAGCTGCCGATCTTAGAAAGAAAGCAGCTACTTTCACCGATGAACGGCTCATGGTGATGAATGAAATCATCGCTGGAATACGAGCAGTTAAGATGTTCGCTTGGGAATGGAATTTCATTGATGTCGTTCGTGAACTCCGCAAGTAATTAATTTTTCTAATTTTGTTTTTGGCTGTAGAGACCAACGTGACTGAATAATGAAATTCACCACCTAGGTATGGAAGAAAACATATCAAGGGGAAGTTGTTTTACTAGTTATGTCATTAATAATTTTTAGACGAATGGATAATCTGTGCGAGAAAATGATTTGCAAGCATTATTGCCTGTTTTAAAAAAATAAGAAAATAATCGCGTAAGGTGGGGGAGTTTTATTAATGTTTCAATAAAAAGAAAAAGCGAGGAAGGATCTCTTTCTCCTGTCAAAAACATTTTTTATTTTCGTTATGGCCACGTATTGGTGTACAGTGAGTGCTGTAACGTTCACTTTCACGTTCGATAATTTGTACATACACGTTATTTATTTATGTTTTGGTATATCTATTTACATTTGAAGGAAGGAGATGGCAGTTATCCGAAAGAAGGGCCTCATCGTTTGCTTCCTGATTGTTCTATTATTTACAACGCTTCCAATTGCAGCTTTGATTTCAGTAACAGCGCTGGTTTTAACAGGAACCATTTTGTCATCTTTTACAATATTCACGCTACTCCTTGGATTAGTGACGATTAAGTTTGCGTTCTGTAACAGCTTGAGTCTCTCTGTGTACATTGTCGCAGATGCTAAAGTAGCTCTTAATAGGATACAGACATTTCTCGAAGAAAAGCTGCCAGGGCTCGAAATAGGTGGAAGATTCCATGGTGAGACTCAGCCTCGGACAAGACTGTTAGATATCGACGATAACCATTCCAAGGTTGAAGAAAAGATGGAGAAAGGCCTTCCAATGACAAACTGCAATGGACGAGAGGACTTTTCCATAGAAATTTCCTCAGAATTTGAAGGTAGCTCAATGACAAAGGGGCCAGACAATCCAAAAGATGACCTGCGTTCAGGATATCCCTTTCTCTCGATATCCAACGTGTGTTGTTCTTGGGACCACTACTGTTCCAACGAGGCCTTAACTTTGTGCGATATAACACTCAATGTACGTGCTGGTGAATTGTTGGCAATTACTGGTCCCGTGGGGAGTGGAAAGTCCTCGGTGTTATCAGCAATTTTGGGGGAACTACCCATTCGTGGAGGCACCATAACATATCACGGGAAAGTTGCCTTTGTCCCTCAATTACCGTGGGTATTTTCTGGGTCTGTGAGAGAGAACATTTTGTTTGGATTGCCATTTGACGAGGAGAAGTTTCTGAATGTAGTAGACGTTTGCGGTTTGTCCAAAGACTTATCTGACTTCGCCAGAGGAGATCTCACAAACGTTGGGCAACGTGGAGTGTCCCTTAGCGGAGGTCAGAAAGCTCGAGTAAGTTTAGCTCGTGCAGTGTATTCAAATGCTGATATTTATTTGCTTGATGATCCTCTTAGTGCACTAGACACCAAAGTAGGAAGAACACTCTTCGAGAGCTGTATAGTCGATAATCTATCGGGCTGTATTCGAATCCTGGTCACTCATCAGCTACAATATCTGAGAGACGTTGATTGTATTGTTGTGATGAAAAACGGTTCAATTAATCATCAGGGCACGTACATTGACCTTAAAGAAAAGGGATTACTTTCAGAAATTCTCGATTTATCAGATCAATTTGAAGAGAGGTCAAAGCAGATATTGAAGATAAGTGTGGACGGGGGAGACATAAATAATGGAAATCAATCAGGTACGTTGGTTTCCGACTCAGAGCGTTGTGAAATGCAACTGCACGAGGGTGACCTGATTTCCACAAGCAGCGTTGCAAAGGTGAAAGTCGGATGTGGCCAGAGTTCTCAGGCTCAGTTTTCGGCAAACATGTGTAAAGTTCAACGCTTACACGGCAACCAAGCTTTTGACCTGAAGGAAGAGGAGGAAGGAAAGAGAACTGGCACTGTGACCTGGCGACTTTATTGGAAGTATTTTAAGGAAGGACTCTCAGTGCCTTTGATAATGCATGTGGCAGTTGCTCTTATCTTATCGCAAGGTAATTCATCTTGCTTAATAACACTGATTGTTACCAGAACAAGTACTTCACAAAGGTGTCTAAGATTGTATAAAACAGGGAAATATCTAGCATATGCTGTTCAATTTTTACGGAATTTTCTACGCTTTTGTGGCATACTTGTTCTGGTTTGTCTTAATTCTTGGCTAAGCTATGAATGAATAACTCATTGATAACACCTTCCACCTCTATTTAAAGAGTTAGTCAGTTCCGATATTGATTGATGTTGTTTCTGTATTATTTGTGCAAAAGGCAGATGTACTTTCAAGGCATTGATATTGTTCCATTTTTTACAGTTTGCCTCCTGGCTCCAAACTGGTGGTTAGCTAGAATTTCAGAGATGTCGCCTACCCAACAAAAAGGAACAGACACTCAAGCAATCCACGCCAGTTTAGTGGGAATTTCCATGGTAGTCATGACAGCATCGTGTGTTTCCTTTTATTTTCTCCTTCTGAAAGCAGCAGAAAATCTTCACAACAAAATGGCCATGACGATCGTCAAAGCTCCTGTGTTGTTTTATGACACAAACCCTGGGGGTCGCATCCTAAATCGCTTTTCAAAGGATGTTGGCACCATCGATGATGTATTACCGATACGGTTTCTAGAATCGGTTACAATGTGTCTTTTCTCGCTCCTGTCCTTTTTAGTTCCTGCTGTGACAAATTACTGGCTCTTCTTAGCTCTTCTTCCTATCTTAAGCATATTTATGTACTATGCACGTTATTATTTAGCTTCCTCCAGAGAGCTGAAGAGAATCGAAGCCATCAAATGTAGCCCAGTGTATTCACACTTTACGGAAACTATCCACGGACTGGAGATAATCCATATCTCAAATAAGAACAAAGCCTTTTTAGAGAGGCTTGAAAGGTTAGTCGAACGAGCTATTTGTTTTGTTTTGTTTTGTTTTGTTTTATTTTTTGTGGCGAGCTATATTCGAATTAAGTTCAAGTTTATTTAAGGTGGGCTTGTAAACATCACCTTAATCAGTGTAGTTCTCTGACCAGTTAGGCTGTGTTTCACTTTCGCATTTTGTGGGAAGTAATTTATCACGTCACGAGCTTATGAAAGCAATTGTTAAGTCCCGCTTAGGCGAAGTTTGATTATGCTGAACATCTTGAATACCAGCCGAATAAACTGGTCAAGACCATTAGATTCTGAGCATCTCCATCGCACGCAAAGACTTGGTTTCTAGAAAAACAGGGATTTCGAGGACCTTTAATGGGTCGCCAATGAGTGTCTTGACCCACCTAGTTGAGTAAAATCTGAGCCAATCATAGTCTTGCCTTCCAGGTATCAGGATGAGAATACGCAAGCTTTTTTTATGGTGGTGTCGTGTAATCGGTGGTTGGGAATTCGCCTTGATTTGTTGTCGAGTGCATTCGCAACGACTGTTGCAGTGGCTGCCATTTTGATTGCAGAGAATCCAGGCGAGTGTGTGAAAACCTTTTTGATTGTTGTTTCGGGAACGAGCTCTACGATTCGTAAAATTCTTCTGGGAATTCTCTTAACACCGTTTAGAAACTTTATGGGGAGAGCGTAGTTCCTGTCCCTGTTTATCCTGTTTGCAACTGTAGTTCCCATAAATCTGTCTTAGATTTTCCCAGTTAGTTTTTCCCATTCAGTGAAGACCAAGTTAATCATGCATCCAGCTATGTGTCTCTTTACACTGTTTAGCCTTTGCTGGACTCGCGTTGATGTACGCACTGGAAACTCTGGACCGGACGCAATATGGTGTGCGAATGGCTACAGAAGTCGAAAACTTGATGACTTCCGTTGAACGTGCAATGGTGTATTCTGAATTAGACTCTGAGCCTGGTTATAGCACTGATATCTATCCTTCAGAGTCCTGGCCCGGCGAAGGAAGCTTTGCCATCGAAAATCTATCTTTGGCGTACTTTGAAGGTGGACCTCAAATCTTAAGAGACATCAACGTTCGGATCTCTAATAAGGAAAAGGTCGGAGTTGTGGGTCGCACAGGCGCTGGAAAGTCTTCCCTGGTTTCAGCTTTTTTCCGCATGCCAGATCCCCTTGGAAAGGTGAGTGAACTGCTAGAGGCCATGAACGTGGGCGTCCTTGAAACAACGCATGCGTGGATGTTTAACGGTTAAAAAAAGGGAGCAAAAAAAATGCTGTCGTGCTTTCATTTCACTTCTGAAAAAGACAAACGAACAAAGAAATAAACAGACCAAGAACACGACTTGAGAACAGTCAAACGTCTCTGATACAGTGACAGCTTTACAGTTCAGTCATTCTTGATGCGACCGGATGCGACGTAACAGCGTTATTTTTTAAACTTGTTTGGGTCATCTCACTAAACGTGGTTCTTCTAACATCAATTCTGCGAAGTCTGTTTTAGAAATCTAAGCCAATATATTTACTTTGTCAGTTCCTCCTTACAACTATGCTGGTGCACTTACAAAGTGCTACATGCCTTTCCACGCAAAAAGAGAAAAATAAACAAACGACCGAATAAACAAACACCGCGGTTATGGGAAAAGGGGGGTATATGAATTTTTAACTAGTTTTGCTTAAGATTGTGTCCTAGAAGCAATATATTCTTCTCGGCAGGTACTGATTGATGGAGTTGACATAGCATCAGTTAACCTACAGCAGGCCCGTAGGTGTATGGCTGTTATTACACAAGATCCTGTACTATTTGGAGGCTCATTAAGAAGGAACATGGACCCCTTTTCAAAACATACCGATCAAGAATTATGGGCAGCTCTAGAAGCTGTGCAACTAAGGACCCTTGTAGAAGGTCTCCCAAAGCAGCTTGAATTCAAAATTAAGGAATCTGGGACAAATCTTAGCGTTGGTGAAAGGCAACTTATCTGTTTGGCTCGTGCTCTGGTCCAGAAGAGCAAAATCATCGTCATGGATGAAGCCACTGCTAATGTGGATTTCAGGACTGACCGTCTGATCCAGCAAGTTATTCGCCACAAGTTTAAAGACTCCACTGTACTAACCATTGCTCATCGTCTGAACACCATTATGGATTATGACAAGGTGCTGGTTCTTGACGACGGGCAAGTAGTGGAGTTTGACAAACCCGAGGTGTTAATGAGAAGTGGTGGATTGTTCGCTGAAATGGTGAAAAGCCAAACCCACATGGAGAATCGTCGAACATAACATCGATCGAGACTTTGCTAAGTCAATGTGTCGTGTTCATGGGTAAGACGCGTAACTTTCACAGCGCCTCTCTCCATCCGGGAGTACAATCGGTACCGCCGACTTGTCAGGGAAGCCTGATGATAGACTGAAGGGTATTCTTGCGATAGAATGGCATCCCTATCCCTGCTGGGGGGGAAGTTGTACTAATCCTAGTCGCTTCATGCTATGGCTCGACTACGTGTTGGGTTTAACCTTGAACTGCGTCATTTCTTGTCCTAGCTTTACTTCAGTCATCGATAGCGCTGGCAGACACTCTTAAAGCAGTGGACATTGTCAATGGCGATCCCCTCAGGCTTGGTTGAAATTTGAACTTCTGGATTTTACAGGGAACCCTTTAGTCATTACGTAGACATTGGATGGTAGTATAGTACAAATAAGGACTGGCAATGGAAATGAACCTCAAAAACAGTTGGATTCAAACGTAAATATATTTATTAGCTATAGATTTCTCTGCTTGTAGTTATACCCTGAATGGTTAATATTCCATCAGTCAAGTCACGCGACAGAAATTTGGACATGCGTAAATTGGATGGAATCGGATGAAGAACAACAACGCGGGGCTAATCATTGAGGTACTCTCTCACATGAAATGCACGACAAAAACTTGACTTACTCTGACTTTAAATCCAAAAATAAATTATGAACGTCAAAAAAAAAATACACGAAGCACAGTTTTCCTGACCTCAGGATAGTTTTAGGACGACTGACTGACTTGAGCCAAAAACCTACCTAAATATAGCTCGGATGCGACACGATTTGCTATGCAGTACTTTGAAATACAGCAAAATTCTCCGTGCCTACAATGTACTTTCACAGCTGACTAAAAAGACTGTATTTACAACTGTTACATTCATATTTAAAGGGATAAAAATTTTGTTCGTGAGTGACTCTGGTACGATAGGTTGTGTATCTGTTCCGCTAAATGCAACGTCGCTGAACGTTCTGAAAACGTAATTTCAAAATGGACGAACAGAAGGAATAGGCGTTGGTTGAATGGCTCTTCTAGGTTTGCTTTCCGACTCCTAGTGGGACAGTCGCAAGTAATTCCCTTCATATAACTGGGACTTTTCTTCCCCCGGTGTGGTTCATTGTTCTTAGAGATCGGCTCGTAACACCGTTTCTGATATGGAAGAAGAAGGTCTCTCCACTGGCTCTGGTGTATAGGTGAACGTAAGTCCTGTAGGATAGATAACTCCGTCAGAGCGAACGAGGCTGACGGCGACTTCAGTGGGTTGCCGGACAAACCGCCATCCACCACGAATGGCCGAGATGTCTGGAACAACACATAACAGACTCTCACCACATCTGTTAAAATAGAAGGAACAGGAAAAGCATGAGAGCAGTGGGTTAAAAGGTTCTAATTTTACGCTAGCGCGAAAAAACCCGAGAAAGGCATACTCTAAAGGAAAATTTTGGATTGAAGTTCTCCTTAGACCCTTCAAAATTTCTTTGAAAATTGTTTACTTTGAGTATCGTTCACAACGACTGCATTATGTTACACCTTGAGTTGAATTCATGAGGAAATGCTATATACCATGTTTGATAAATTAAGAATTACAGTGACTATGGGATTGGTATCGCTGGGATACTTGGTTGGTCTTAACTGACAAATATCCTCACCAATTTATCTTGATTAGCACAGTTCGTCCGCCGAATTATGAGCGCAAGCTAGTTGCTTATCTCAACATACGACTGACACACGACTGGCTCTTACATCACGAGACAAACGATTAAACGTTAATTTATGTCTAAAACCATGATCAACAACAGCATTTTCTATAACAATGCATGATGTCACGAAACATCTACATCTGTACTGTAAGAAACTTAAAATGTGTGGTTACGCTGGCTACTGGTGTAATCTTATTACCAAGTCTGACATTCACAGAACTATACTCTATAGACTATATCACTCCTACCTGTACATGGTTTCTGCTTCAACATCTCCAAACCAAACTTTTAAGTTTGCAGTGAAATGCTCTCCAGTTAGCTCCAACATGGCCACATCTCCTCCGCCATTCAGCTAAAAAAGATAATAAGAGAGTAAACTCCAAGAAACTGGTAGTACATTCAACAATCGACCTAAATTTCAAGCATGTGATACATTCGTTATCAGACAGACTCATCACACGCCCACCCATAATAGTATTTCATTTTCATTTGCAGCGCTGGCAATTCACTGCCATCCACTTTATGACCTTGTTGAGGTGTGTCAATACTTGTGCAGCAAGAAGTTCATCTATTTTTCTTAATGTCATTTTTGATCCATTTTATTGTTTTACATTTCTGGGCATCGTTGTTCATTTTAAGTCTATAATTGTCTCCTATTTGTTCTACCATATCGACCTAATACATTTTTCAGCCTCCTTTAAGGAAGATAGTGAAACGGGAAGGTCTACAGTTCCATTCCTTATTGGAATCAAATTATATTGCCGACCCATTAGAGATTAATTTTTTCATACCCAACCTGATACCTCACGAAACGAGTTGAACTTCAAGTAACCGAGGGAAAATCTCAGAGGATCTATAACACGATAATCTTAGGCATTTTTGGCGTCAGAGATATTTTAATTCAAATGACATTCCTTTAAGTTGTCGTTTAGCAGGGTAGAAAAGCACAAAAGTGAGAGGAAAAAACAAAACAAAGTAAAAAAAGGGAAAGAGAATGATAAAGATCGTCAGAGGAAGCACTTGAGGATGTTAAGACGAATTTCTTTACTGGAAACAAGGCAGAATGTTGGCTTTTAGAAAAGCGGATATGTAAGATAGGTTAGATTACCTGTAAATTGTTGACAATCGGGACAGGCGTGATTGGAGACCTCACAGGACCATTTCCTTCGTAAAAACTGTACTCGGATTTATCTAACAAAGAAGGACACGAGAGCAA